GACCAAGTAACCACACCGGTCAACCGGCCAGTTCCCTACACTATCGGGCACAAATATTGTCGAGCTACTACTCCCAAACATACAAGACAGTATAATAAACATACACTCGAGCATACAAACATGCAGAAATAAAAACGGGCATACCATCATGCAAACATAAACGAGCGCACACTTAAACAAAATATTATATTATCAAAAACGGGCACCATCCCAGTAGTCAATTACAAACCCAAAAGGGCACGCAGGCCCGACAAAAACACTTGGCAAAAAATAGCAAAATATTGGCGCGTAGGCCCAAAAACCACGAGCACGCAGACCCGGAAAGAATCTACACATCTTCTTAATTGTCCACCTTAGGCTCATCTACAGGGGCAGAGTTACCAGCAGCTTCATAATCGGGCTCGACCACCCGTCCATCAACTATCTGATAGAAGGGCCCGATCCCGTCTACGACCAGGCTGAGCTCGGGATTAACCACCTTGAGTTGGTCCACAGCACTGGAAAAACCAACCCCGACTGCCTCCAGAAAGTCATTCTCCAACTCCCGGATCCTCCTCAGTAGATCTGCACGAGTGACCATGAGCTTGTCCTCGTCAGTCTCATCGTCGGCAGGTCGGAGTGAACCTTCCAGCTCCCCCACACGAGCCTTTAGCGCATGCAACTCCACCTCCGCGGCCTTCAATTTCTCGTCAGCACTTTCTCCTCTCTTACGCTGCACGGCAACGTCTCCCTGACTCTTCTCCAACTCCCCGACCATCTTGGTCAACCTCGACTGCTAGTAAGCAAGATCACTCTGCAGCTTGGCCAGCTCGGCACTAGAAAAACTCATAACTCAGAACCAAGGCCGTCGAGAAGACCCTCATCATAGCAGCAAGATCCTCGGCCAAAACCTGTCTCCGCGCATCCCCGTTCGCACTGAGAACCACCTTTGCCTCCCTGACGGGCACAGCTGGCGACTTGGCACCATGAAAGAAGTCGGGATGCTGGCACGGCGGGATTAGGAACCCCTCCTCAACAAACCCTTCCGTCAAGTCGACGACACTCTCAGGCGTTTGAATCTTGGGCCGCTTGGCAGCCCCCTGGGATAGCGGGGAATGGATGCTCTGGGGCGACGATGAAGAACCCATTCCTCCCTGGTCGACGACAGCTTACCCGGCCACCTAGGCAACCTACATCTTCCCGGCGTTGGCCGCGGCTCTCGAGGCGGCCAGCTTCTTCATTCTCTCCTCGACAGAAGACATATTCCCTGCAAAAAAAGAAAGAAAGAACTCAGCAAACAAATGAAAAACGGTGAAGTCAAGGGAAGGGGGTCGGCCACCACCTAGGTAAATAAGGGTCTCCTCCTCCAACGAACACTTGAGCAGAGCCTTCGTACTGATCAACCTCTTCCTCTGTAAAACGCACCTCTGACTGTCGCGGACATACCTACCATCGTGTGTCACCAGGTTTGCCGGGGGCAGGATGGCCACGAACGAGACTATCTTTTGGTAATCGGCCAGGTCCTCCTCGTCCAGGATCCCCGCCCACACTATATATTGGTCGGTGTCGTTCGTGAAATGCTCCTCTGTCCACTCCAAGGGCACCTTCGGTACCAAGACATCCTCCCGCTGCCCGTTCACTACGCGTTCCCCTCTCCTGTACAGCGAGGAACACGCCCTGTGGGACACCGGTCGGACGACAAAGAAGCGTGCTTTGAAATCCCAGATAGAGTCCATATAAGTCCGAAAGAGCTTCCTCGGTTGCTTCAACGAGACCAGTCCATGTTGACCGTTCACCGTTTGCCTCTGCAGATGAAAAAGGCGGAAGAAAAGCGGCAGCGTAGCCCCGACCTCCAGGTACCTACAAACGAGCTCGAATGCCCGGATGAATGTTATAGCGTTGGGGTGCAGTTGCGAGGGAGCTAACCTCAACCAATCGAATACCCCCAACTGAAAGTCCGTGAATGGTAGCCTGAGCCCAGCCTCCCGAAAATAGAACTCATACATGGGGAACTGCATTTTTCTGAACGCTGAGCAGATGCAGTGTTGTTCACGGGGCCAGTACACCTGCCAGTTTTGGGGCCCGTCCGTGGTCCTGTCCTCGACGGTGGCGAAACGCCGGTCTGATCGTCTACGAAGTACGAGGACGTCGCCAAAGGCTCCTCTGTCACCCATTCCTCGACCGGACGAACTCTATCCTCGAAAGTAGGAACTTCTGGTTCTTCGTCCATGTCTATGGTCCCCGAGACCCACGAAGCCATAATCACCTAAAAAGCAGAAGGAAACGGTGAATTCGATGTCCAAGATCAAATTCACCCTTCCACCGCACGCCAAGTGAAAAGGCAACGGGGACAACGTCTGTGACGGTAATAAAGGCCATCTGGGCAGCCGTCCTCGGGGGATTCATCCTATACCCCTCATCGTCCCTGGGATACATGTCTGACCATAGCGCGTGCCCCCGGGGCGTCCATCTAATCCCTATCATGCGTCCCCGAGGAATTCATCTAACCCTAACGTCCGTCCCCGGGGCATTCATCTAGAATTAACACCTGTCCCCGGGGAGTTCAAACTACCCCATCGCACGTCCTCGGCGCATTCATCCAAAACCTAGAAAACCACCGCCTATCACGGCGGAGATCCATCTCCCTCCTCGGGGCACTCAACGCACCCTGACTCTAGCTTTAACATACGACGTAAGAAAAGAACAAGGAAAGGGAACTTACTGGATTACTGGTAACGGCGGAATACGCGGCGGCGGTTGCGGTGGTGTTGACGAACGGATGCAGACAAGTCAAACGTCGCGTTAGAAAGAGAGCAGAAGCGAAAATGACGAAGGAGCAGGGTCTCGCGTACTTATACCCTCAGCGCGGGACTCGAAGCGTCCCTAGGCACTCGAGTGCCCTAGGGTAGTCGCCCCACATGGACCACCAAACGCTTGACACGTGGCATAGGAAACCAGTCGTGTCCCTTCGTCCTCCCCGCCTACAATATCGGACGGGGACACTTCCTCGACCTGGACGCCCGACAACGCGTTGACGTTCACGCCCACACATTCTCGCGAGACACGAGCAGGCAGAACCTCTCCCTGCGCACTCTCCCTCCTCGGCGCAGCATCATCAAGTCTTCGCTCCTTTACGTTGGAGCTACGACTTGGGGGGCTCTTGTTCTGGACTGGGCTCAGGTTTGTCCAGACAGGCCCAGCCCAATTGTATATGGGGAAGGCCCCAAACCAGTCCAACAGGGCGACGTCGAGCACAGGACCTCTATCGACCAGACACTGCCCTCGTCAAGCAGAGCACCACGATCGTCGGGAAGAACAACGTGTCATCCACACGTTCTCCACGTGCCCTCTCCGCAGGGGCACATCAGCCAACTATCCACCTTCCGGAGATCATGGGACAACTGATCTAGGGCGAAGACCACGTTCTGATCTTCACTACGCCACGTAAGCCCTAGTAGTCACTTGGGTTGGGCCTGGTCATCCAACCCAACGCAATTGACCGTTGGCTCTGCGCTGGGGTCTCTCTATAAATACCCTCTTTCGCAAGAGGGTCAGGTATTCTATTCTAAACCTTCTTTCTGTATTTGCTCTCACTCTGGTCCATTCTCCCACTTTGGCATCGAAGTGTCTTGCAGGTACACTCCCTCTCCTCTTCCATACCTCCGGTGAACAGGTGGCTGATCAACGGCGCGTGACAAGTCACTTACTTTATTCTGATCAGATAGATCAATTATTAAAAATTATTTTTCACGCATTAAAAATAAATAAATAGAAAAGTAATGATTGAATGTAATTATTTTATAAAACTATGTTAAATTGTCCTAAATAAATAGTATGATTTAATAATTTAAAAGTTGTCCAAAAAATATTAATTAAAAATAAAATTAAAATAAATTAATTAATATTGTATTGAAAAGATAAAGTGACACTTCCTTTTAATGTAACGCTTAGGGTTGTTCATAATATGGTTTTATGAAAAAATCAAGTTGAATCGAACTAAACTAAAGTTAAAGTTCACTCAAACAAAACCATTTCAATTTATTCAAAATCAAACCGAACCAAAATAAAAATTCCAAACTATACCAAACTATTTGTTAAAGAACCAAAGTGTTAAACTATTTTTAATTTTTTTTTAATTTAAACTATTTTTTCGATTTCATTTTCAGTTTATTTGTCAAAACAATAAGATTCGACTATTTTAACTTCAGTTCGATTCAACGCATAATAACTTGGTTTAAGTATTTTTGCAATAACAGTTAGGATGGAGTAAAAAATTTAAACTATTTTTTCGATTTCATTTTCAGTGTATTTGTCAAATTCTATAACCATTTCTACCATAAGATTTGATTATTTTAACTTCAGTTCGGTTCATCGCATAATAACTTGGTTTAAGTATTTTTGCAATAACAGTTAGGATGGAGTAAACAGTTAGCACGGTGGAAGGAGAAGACAAAACAATGTGTCGGTGGATGGAAGGATGTGCAACAAATGTGTGTGGGGTAAGAAAGTCACCGGTGTTGCTCTTAAATGAATATTATCATTCGTTGTGAATGATTCAAAATATATTTGATCTTTTAACAATAACCTTTTTATGAATTCTTTTTGCTTCTCTAGTTCAACTCATGTCATCAAAAAAACACTTTTCCTTCTCAATCAAAACAAATAATAATCACCTTTGAATGCTCTTCTATGTCTCAAGAGACTATAAGAAAAACAACACTGCTAGTACCATAACATAACAGCAATGTCCAAAATAAGTTTTTTTTTTATTTTATTTTTTTGGCTTTATAAATAACACTGACTGGGTGCATAGAATCCAATGCTGTCAAAGAGCAACAACATCCAAGAAAATAATGAAAGTATAAAATCCAAGAAAACAAGCAACAGATGTAGAAAACATTTAATCTGCCTATGTCTATAAGGAGTTATAACCTACATATACCAAGGTCAAGAATGAAGCATCCATAACAGGAAAATAAAATTTATGGCACATACAAGTTCCATCATCTTCCAACAAAATATCATCTCCTACCGGCCGCGGTCTTGCCTTTGCTTAACTCTGAGAGTTCTTCGATAAGTTTTCTCTCATCGCTGCTCAGTTTCTTTGGAATCTCAACTTGCACTCGAACCAATTGATCACCCCTCATGTTCTTTTTGTTCAGCACTGGAACACCTTTCTTAGCCATAACGAGTGTCGACCCTGGTTGTGTCCCAGAGGGGATTTTTAAATCCACCATGCCATCTACAGTTGGAACCTTAAGTGTAGTCCCCAAGATTGCATCAATGTAGGACACTTTACATGAGTATAAAATGTTGGTGTCTTCTCGTTTGAGCACGGGATCTGGGATAACTTCAAGAACAACAAAGAGGTCACCGGGAGAACCACCGCGCCTTCCAGTGTTGCCTTCGTTTCGGACCCTTAAACGGCTACCAGAATCCACACCAGGCGGAACCTTGAGACTTATCCGCTTTGTTTTCCTCACCCGACCATCCCCAGAACATGTACCGCAAGGTGTTCGAGTTTCTCCGGTCCCATTGCAAGATGAGCAAGCCATAGCCTGCTGAAAGATACCTAACGGAGTCCTCGTCTGTGTGACAACGCGACCTTGACCACCACAAGTGTTACATCTGGATGATTTAGTCCCTGGTTTAGCCCCTGAACCATCGCAAGTTCCACAATTCTCAAGTCGCCTTATCTCTATCTCCTTTTCCACTCCGAAAATAGCTTCTTTGAAATTCAAAACAAGACTGTAATACTCATCCTCGCCATCAGCTGCTCCATTCCAAGAACCTCTGCTGCCCATGCCACCACTACCCATGCCCTCAAATAGAGTCTCAAACAGATCAAAAGGATTGCTGAAATCCTATCATCACAAAGATTATCAACGAATGAGAAACAATAGTATGTTATGACAAATTAAAATTCTCCATGACCTTCATCAGTAACTTACCCCCATGCCGCCCATTCCTGAACCCTTAAGCCCTGCCTCTCCATATTTGTCATATATGGATCGTTTCTCATCATCTGATAAGACCTGCAAAAAAATTATAATTACATAAGGTCAATTACCACTGGTCACACAATAGGGTTATCTGTGTTTAATAACCTCTAGTTTACCTCATATGCATTACTAATTTCCTTAAATTTGTCTTCTGCACCGGGGTCCCTGCAGCAAAAAGCGAACAAACAAAATAATTCAATGATATGAAACAATAACAAAATGACTGACTTTAAGGGAAAATCATGCAACCAGAAAAATATGACATTTGAATTGGCACTTGGCCGAAAGATTTTATCAAATAATTCAGGAAGTGTCCGAAAACATTACTTCTAAGAATGACAAGTTAAGAAGTATTATCATCTAAGACACCCAAACTATTTTGTCCACGGCAATAGTGAAATCAGAGTTGAAAATTAGAAAAGAAAAAAAAAAGTGAGAATAGGGTAAATGAAGGATATTGGTGAGCAAATAACGCCAAAGTGAGAGAGAACAAAACTCACTTGTTCACATCTGGATGATAATTCCGGGCTAACTTTCGATAAGCTGAAACATTCACAAAAGAAAGATTTGATAATGCAATGATATGACGGAAAATATGCAAAAGCAAGTAAATCACACACAGTATCGGGCTATAATAATAAATTCTTGATCACAACGACCTTTCGTTAACCCTAACCATTTCTCATACAAACTTTAAACTTCTTTTCCAACCCTTTCCTCCAGTTATTACCAAAAAAAAGAAATGGAATGAATATTTAGTTTTGACCATCTGCGGTCTTGGACAGAAATTATCCTAGAGGCTCATATGCCACAATTTTAGTTTAGGTTTGTTATGTTATACTATACAGAAGCCAGAGTTATCAATCTCAGATAGCGGATCGGAGCGGCCGACCCCAAAAATGAGATAGCGGGATAGCCGCTATTTGACTATTTTTTGGACAAATTATATGAATAATTACTATAAAGCATATTTAATGAAAAAACTAAACAAATAACACAATACCATAAAAGAATAAAATCAAATATCAAAGCACAAAGCTTAATGAAAAAGTCTTAATCAAAATCAAATTCAAAATATCACATTTTATATTAAAATTCAAACAAACATAGAAGAAGAAGCTGTCATTGTCTACCAAAAAGAAAAAAGAAAAGAGAAATAGAATTATTAAATTATTATTTCTTCAAATAAAAAAAAGAGGATCGTATGAAGAGTAAAAAGAAGAAGAAAAGAAAGAAGAGAAAAAACAGAGAACAAAGGACAGTGAGAGACGAAAAGAAAAAAGATAAGAAAGAAAGAAGAATGAAGAATGAAGAAAAGAAGAAAAGAGAAGTAAGAAGAAGAAATTTCGAAAGCCAATTTTGTGTCCGGGCCGGAATATGACTTTTCGAATTCAAAACAGTTGAAACCCGCTCCGGGCTGGAAAGTGCTCCGCTCACGCTACCCGTTCGAGGCCAAAAAGCGGACGCTATCTCAAACCGAGACTCAAACCGCTATGCGGTAGCGGCCAATCACTGCTCTCCCAGGATAGCGCCGCTAGTCCCTGGGACTAATAACTCTGACAGAAGCCATACAACACCAAAGAGCAATCAAAGACAAATAATTTTGAAATCTTCAATACTTGATTCGAAAAACTAGATTTGAGTTGATTTGATTGGTAGCAACAAACAAGTATAATCAAGAGAAAGACCTCTTTATTAGTATTAACATCTAGATTTGATTTGCTTATCTTGCATCCTCCAGACAATTCATCTGAATCTTTTTCAATATTAGTATTTGGATTCCCTAAGTTACAAATCCCTATATTTCTCGCATTTAGGTCAAAGTTTAGGGTACTGTTGTCTTTACAACATACAGAAATGGCACATACTAATGAGAAAATAAAGTTATGAATTTGAACACATCAACTACTGATAATAGAGGCATAATCATATTAGACAGATAAGAAAGGACTGCAGAAAAATACCAGTCTTAATTTCAGATTTAGTAGAATTTCTTGACACCCCAAGGACAGTGTAGTAATCCTGCACATGAGTACATAATAGATATTCAGCCAATGCATCGAATGTTCATGAGAATAACATAACTTAAAAGAGAAATACTTTGATACGGAACTCTTGTGCCCAAAAATCAGAAAGGAAGTCACTGTTACTTAGAAAAGCATGAGTAATAAAAACTTACTGTCTCTGCTCTAACTATCAACCTTGATCCCCTTCGACGATGCAAAGTTTGATATGAGCCAACGTCAAAACGCAAGGAATCCCGAGCAAAAAAGGTTGAGCTTGGGGCAGCCATAAAGTTTACCCTGCTTGTAGCACTGCAAGGAAAATGATTGAATTATGTTGAAAAGCTGTGTGCTTAACTGCTTATTGAGTATGCATCTGTTTGTTTGAGATTTTTGTAAAATTGATTTGACAATAATTGAGGCTAATAATGCATCGTAAATCGTATTTGTAAGCAGGATTGTTGATGGCAGATGGCGGAGAGCCAAAATCCAGTTCTTTTATAGCGGATTATGGCGGAAAAACCTGCAATATCAGCCAATATTCACCATTGCAGCAAGCCCAAAAACCGCACGTATATCCGCCATAGCTCCGCCATGTCAGATATTTGATAACACTTAGTAAGATCCAAAATTTCAATGAAAAATAACTTCAAATATATCATATAAATGATTATTACACTATTTAATGCAAGGACTTCACCTAGGGTGTTAAACTTAGATAACAGCGCGACGCGGCCATCCCAAAAAATGAAACGGTGACGCGGAACAAAACAGACGTTATTTTAGTGACGTGGACACTAATGTATTTACTACTAACACACATAATTGTAAAAAACTAAAATAAATTATTCAAAATTCACGACGCATTCATAATTATAAATAAAAACCATAAGTCGTAAACAAAACATACTTTCAAATGTCAATAAAATTCACAACAACAAACACTTAATTAAAACCTCTAATAAAATTTCAAACAACATGTGGAATGTTAGCTAAGTAGATGAATGGAAGCAAGGAAAAGAGGAGCAGAAAGAGAGCGCGATAGGTGTGACACAAAGAGAAGGGTATGTGTTGTAGATTCAAAAGCTGCTGAGAGTTGTATTAGGGCGTTTTTTTAAATGTTAAAATGTCCAAAATAGCCCTCTCAGCATTTTAAAATCAAGGGAAAAACCAGACACGGCAGTCTCGGCTGTTTGAAGCCGCGTCACCACCATTCCGCGCCATCACATTCCATCGATCTAAACATAGCCTTAGGTTTTTTTTACGTCAAAAAATGTAAGCTGTTTGATTCTTCAAATTCTTAGATTAGAATTGGTGACAAAAGCAAGCTGAAAACACAAATTGTTTAATCATGCAACTCATATCATATCGATGATAAAAATTGTATGATTAGATTTTTTACTCGTCACATGATATAAGTCCTTTGCATGCTAAAGTGTACCAAATTGTGCAAAATAATGGTTGAAATAATTGATTTGTTTCAAAATGATATCCTAAGGACCTGAAGAGAAAAAATTACGGCCATTGACTAATTGAATCATCTTGAAAGCGAACATGAGCAAAAGAACCAAGTGAATGAAATGGAGTTTAGAAAAGTTGATTTTGCATGGATATTGATAATAAAGTAAAATCACTTTGAATCACAAATGTGAATAACTGTGCAAGTCGCACACTAAGAACCATTTCTACTAAGCGGAAAAGCTAAAAACATTCACTTTGCTTGGCAACGCGCGAGTTTAACCAAATCACAGTGACACCGTGATTTTGTTAAGGTTCTAAAAGGTAGTTTTTGCATGACACTGATTCCGCATACTCACCGTGAATTCAAACACAAACACAACTTCAACTCAGACAAAATTGATTTATTTCCCATTGCAAATATTGACCGAACGAAATTCAAATTACTCAACCCCATTTATCTAACTCCAATAAAAGCTTAGGGTTTAACCAAACAGCTAACAAGTCACAATATGATAGATTAAAAATAAAAAAAATTAAAAAAAAACCTTAAACATAACCTAGCTCATTCCAATAGACAAGAACATGAAAATTAAGAATTAAACATAGGACTCACTTGTGGGTTGCAGATGCAAACTTGGCCATGGTGGTGGATCTGGCGAGAAGCTGGGGACGAATTCCCCATTGAGTAGCTGATGTATTACCAAAAGGCGTAACTGCCATCTGATAAATATTGAAATTCTTGAAGAAATTCCACTGGCTCAGCAAATATATTAAGAAAACAAAAACAATAAGATAGAGCGGACAAAAAGCACTTCTGAAGCAGAAGCTAAAAAAATGAACCTAGTAATAATAATGAGTAATGAATTAGTACAAGAGAGTGAAATTGAAAAGAACGATGAAACAGAAAATCGTAATTTGACGAGCACAAATAAACACAGTAGTTTAAGATAAGAAGCGGAAAAAAGAAAAAAACAACAACGGTTTGCGTGGCATAATCGTAAGAGATGCGATGAGGGTGTTTTGTTTGAAATTGAAAGAGAAAGAGAAACCTGGTGGTGGTGGTGGTGGTAGGCGGAGGTGGTTCGAAGTCTCTGGAGTGTGCGAGAGAAGTTGGAATGAGAGGATGAGGAACTGTTTTGTTGTGTTTGAGAAGTGTTCTCTCAATCTCTCTCTCTTACTCTTTCTCTCTCTAAAGGTTTTTGGTCGCGGCTTTTATAGGAGGGATGGATGAATGAATGAAAATGAACCGGGTGGTCGAGTATTGTTTTATTATTATATTATTATTTATTATTATAGAGACAAACCCTACAAATTTTAAGGTTGGAATAGAAGGCAGGGTAACAAACATCTTCCTTTTCGACCCAATTTTGCAAAAGTTTGTAAAAAAAACAAATAGATATATTTGAAGATGCGAATTTAAAATTATATTATATTTGTATAAATGAAGGTGGGGCGAAATAGGTTTGTTTTTATTGACTCATTTAAAATTGAAAGTTACAAAGTTATATATAAACATCCGTGCCCTAAAAAAACAGACGGAATAGAGTGGATACATTAAAGATATAATGTAAGATAGATATATTTGAATATACGAATTTAAAACTATATTATATTTGTATAAATGAGGACGGCGCAAAATAGATTTGTTGTCATTGAATCTTTTAAGTTTGAAAGTTACAAAGTTATATATAAACATTTGTATTTGAAAAAAAAAACATACAGAATAGAATGGATACATTAAAGATTGCGGATTTAAACCTTTGATTTATTCCAAAAAAAAAAATGCAGACAAAATAAACATGCGATAGATAGAATCAGTTTTGACACCCCTAAAGATAAGACAACTCAAGTAATAACAAAAAAAATAAATAAATTTAAATTTTTTAATTATAAATTGAATAGAGGTGTTGTTAAGAATAAATAGTTAATCAAATTTATGTATAATTTTATCTAATGGATTATAGAAGTGAAAAAAGATACTTATAATAAGTTAATTTAGATATTCTCATTCCCCTTTATTTTTCTTTTAATCGCATTTTCTTTAAAATAAAAATTATTTTATAATTAAGAGAGTGAGATTAAGAGAAAGATAGAGAAGAAGGAAAGAAATGAAAAAAAAATAAAAGAATGGGATTCAAACTTCTTATTGTCGCTATGCGAAAAATGACACAGAGTCGTCACCGGATTTTATTTATCCCAAGGAGGAAAAGAGAAATAACAATAAAACCTTTAGGAAAAGAACATGGTCATCGCAACCAAGTTTTAGGGTTCGGGAGTCGGTTATGCGAGGGGAAGGTATTAGCACCCCCTCGCATCCATCGTACTCGATGGGAACCTCTTAGGTTGTTTAGTTTGAATGGGTGTTTTAATCTAAAAGTTTGCTTGCTTAAAATAAAGAGAGAGGTTGATTTTTTATTAGAGTGCTCGCCAAAGATTATGGCCCTTGTGCCTACGTATCATCACTTAAAAGAAGTGAAGAATCAGAGCTTCATAGTTTGGAGGCTTGTGAAATGGTTGTTTGTTAGTTGATTTTATACCTTGAAAAAGGGTTTTCGGATTGATGCCCTAAGGCGAAAAGAATTTTGATGAGTTGATGTTATTTTTAGGTTTTTGCGAAAAAAAATATTTTTGATTAGGATCACACTAAAGACTTTGGATACAGATGAATGTTTCGAATAAGCAAGTCGAACACCTTGTATTCAAAACATTCGGAACGAGTGTAGGAGGGGCTCCATTCTCATTCCATCCCCACCACTTTAAAGCTTATGGCGTATAACCCTAATCGTATCTTTATTGTTTTTTTTTTGGATTTTTATGAAAAAAATACCACTTGATGTTGGATCAAGGGTTATATTGTTTGTAACAATATTTGAAGTGATGCGAACAAGGTCGATGGCGAACGCACAAGGCGGTCGACTTACAAGGGTGAAAATGACTCGATAAAATCAAGAGTTTATTTTTGAAAATAGTTTTTGGAAACAATGGTAAAAAAATGATCATAACAATATCCACATACAATGGCCATACAATCACATCGGGTTAGTCGGTTTGAACAAAACAAAATATTAAAAAAAAAACGAAAAAAAAATTTGAAGGTAAAATAGCAAACAAAATTGAAAATAGGGGCCTGACACGGATGGCCGTGTCAGCTGACAAACGTAGGATATGAAAGGCTAAATGTGAAAATGAGGGTGTGATAGCTGCCCCTATTTAATCCTCTTGGACCTGAATGTCTGGAGGATAAAGGTGTTCAGACATTCATGGTAGAAGATAATTAAATACTAGAATACCTGGGATTTTCAACTGGAGAGGTATGGAATGAAAGTAGTCAATCAATGGGATGACTTAGAAAAGGCGTCTGCTAGTGAAGAAGGGTTATGGGGGATATGATGATATGCTTGAGATGCAATATGGAATGAACATGAGTGTTTTGCCAGCCGGAAGATGAGACACCTCGTAATAGGGAATCATAATTGGCCAAGAGATATTCCTTTTACAAAAGGCAGAGAGGACTCGGAAATATAAAAATGTGAGACACTCCTTCTACGAAAGGTAGAGAGGACTCTAGAATAAATATTATGAGATATTCCTTCTACGAAAGGTAGAGAGTACTCAAGAAATATAGAAATGTGAGATATTCCTTCTATGAAAGGTAGAGAGGACTCTAAAATAAACGACCGTGAGATATTTCTTCTACAAAAGATAGAGAGGACTCAAGAAATATAGAAATGTGAGATATTCCTCCTACGAAAGGTAGAAGGGACACTAAAATAAACGACCGTGAGATATTCCTTCTACAAAAGATAGAGAGGACTCAAGAAATATATAAATGTGAGATATTCCTTCTATGAAAGGTAGAGAGGACTCTAGAAATTGGTTTTTCTCTTGCAAAAGGCAAGGAGGACTCCTGAACAAAAGGTTTGGAGAAAATGTTTCCTTCTACAAAAGGTAGGGAGGACTCCTGAACAAAAGGTTAGGAGAAATATTCCTTCTACAAAAGGTAGAGAGGACTCCAAAACAAAAGGTTTGAAGACATGGTAACTCCTCCTTCTCCCAATGGTAACTCCTTCTCCATTGGGAGAGTATTCCTTCTTCATCAAGTAGAGAAGACATGGCAATGAAATCCCTCACGAAAGGTAAGGCGAGAAGATATCTCAAAATGGACTTACAAAAGGTAAGTGAATGGATAATAACCACTCTCATGCAAAAGGCAAAGGGAACTTGGAAAGGGTATCTTAAAGAATGGTTGATGCCTATGTGGCCAAAAACTAAATGGCTGCCATACTTAAAGAATGATGTTTTGGGTATCTTCGATCAATTTGGATGCTTGATGCCTATGTGGCCAAAAACTAAATGGTTGCCATACTTAAAGAATGTCATCTCCGTCGTTGTGCCTGTGAGGTCAAATGATGTTCTGATACCCTTTCCAAGTTCCCTTTGCCTTTTGCATGAGAGTGGTTATTACTCATTCACTTACCTTTTGTAAGTCCATTTTGAGATATCTTCTCGCCTTACCTTTCGTGAGGGATTTCATTGCCATGTCTTCTCTACTTGATGAAGAAGGAATACTCTCCCAAGGGAGTCTCCTCTACTTGATGAAGAAGGAGTTACCATGTCTTCAAACCTTTTGTTTTGGAGTCCTCTCTACCTTTTGTAGAAGGAATATTTCTCCTAACCTTTTGTTCAGGAGTCCTCCCTACCTTTTGTAGAAGGAAACATTTTCTCCAAACCTTTTGTTCAGGAGTCCTCCTTGCCTTTTGCAAGAGAAAAACCAATTTCTAGAGTCCTCTCTACCTTCCATAGAAGGAATATCTCACATTTATATATTTCTTGAGTCCTCTCTATCTTTTGTAGAAGGAATATCTCACGGTCGTTTATTTTAGTGTCCCTTCTACCTTTCGTAGGAGGAATATCTCACATTTCTATATTTCTTGAGTCCTCTCTATCTTTTGTAGAAGAAATATCTCACGGTCGTTTATTTTAGAGTCCTATATACCTTTCATAGAAGGAATATCTCACATTTCTATATTTCTTGAGTACTCTCTACCTTTCGTAGAAGGAATATCTCATAATATTTATTCTAGAGTCCTCTCTACCTTTCGTAGAAGGAGTGTCTCACATTTTTATATTTCCGAGTCCTCTCTGCCTTTTGTAAAAGGAATATCTCTTGGCCAATTATGATTCCCTATTACGAGGTGTCTCATCTTCCGGCTGGCAAAGCACTCATGTTCATTCCATATTGCATCTCAAGCATATCATCATATCCCCCATAACCCTTCTTCACTAGCAGACGCCTTTTCTAAGTCATCCCATTGATTGACTACTTTCATTCCATACCTCTCCAGTTGAAAATACCAGGTATTTTAGTATTTAATTATCTTCTACCATGAATGTCTGAACACTTTTATCCTCCAGACATTCAGGTCCAAGAGGATTAAATAGGGGCAGCTGTCACACCCTCATTTTCACATTTAGCCTTTCATATCCTACGTTTGTCAGCTGACACGGCCAGCCGTGACAGGCCCTTATTTTTCAATTTTTTTTGCTATTTTACCTTAAAAAAATTTTTTTTCGTTTTTTTTTAATGTTTTGTTTTGTTCAAGCAGACTAACCCGATGTGATTGTATGGCCATTGTATGTGGATATTGTTATGATCATTTTTTACCTTTGTTTCCAAAAACTATTTTCAAAAATAAACTCTCGATTTTATCGAGCCATTT